TGGGTTTTTTTCAGTTCTTAACTCAAATCTAAGTATGTAAGTCAAGTCAATATTTTCCTGAGAGTGATTCTTAAGTCAAAATGTTCTTAACTCAAGCCGTTCTTAAGTCAAGACCCCACTGTAAGTGAAATTAATCTTGAAGTTCTACTTTGGCATGCAAAACAAAGGGGACAAATATAAGAGGAAACAATCGCTCAGCAAAACATTTCGAAAACGCCAAAAACTTGCTACAGTAGACCAACATGTCTGAAAAAGTATAAGGAAAACCCCATAAACATATTGAAGGCAATGGCAAGGGCCGTGCAAATGATTCTGAATGCAGGATCTATGATAAGTCTATAAATGTGCATTCATGAACCAGGAATGCTTCCAAATAAGATAGAATATAGCTTACATCACCTTACAGTCATATCTGGAGGGTACCAAGTTAGGGAAAGCTGCTGTAAACAGTCAGGAATGATGCTTTCTCAAATCACTGGAGATGAAAGAGTAGTTTTGCAAGTCCAAAAGAGCTGACTGATGTTTTAAAGTTGAAATGTACTAAGAAACTTCAAAAAGGAGTTCAAGCGAACATTAACAGCACACTTCTGTCAGATCTCATTGATTTCATGAGAATCTGTGATCCTTCCTCTGCCTCCTGAAGCCTCCCAAGCACCCTAAAATCTACTCCAGAGAGCCAGGATACCCCCGGAGCAGGATTTTGGAACCAGAGAGGGCTGAAGAGGGAGGGAAAAATGTCCCGAGTCTGTTGGCATTCAATACAGTTGAATGTTGGCTTCACTTTCAACATTTTGAATTCTGAGAACGGTGCAAAAAGGGTGTCACAGATATGTGTGGAGAAGCAGAATATAAGAGCACAGTAAGAAACAGAGGTGCAGCATAAGAACACTAGGAAATACGCTCCACTAGGAAATCCAATCCAGAGATTACATTAATAGAAGAGAGACACTGCTATGCAAATAATCAAGGCAAAGGATTAGCCATGGATCGAAGAAGGGGGGGGTATCTTCCCTTGCCCTAAAGGGGGCATCTCTCCCAGTCTAATCAAGAAAAAAGGCAAAAGGTGGACAGAAGGGAGAATATTAACGTGAAAAAACAAAAAACATCTCATGCGTTTACTGAGCATGTCTTTGTGTAGGGGATAGAACAGAACTTGGAACAGAAACTTTGTTTTTCAAGTAGTTAATTTAATATTGACTTCATGCCTTTGGAAAATGGAACTGAAATATTCCTCTATATTAAGAAAATGAGCTCCCTTTAACTTATATCTGAGAATGTTGCTTTGCATCAGCTACAGAGTCCTTTGAGTCTGATGCTGTTGCACAGCAGAAAATGAAAATAATAGCAATAATACATGCAGTTGTAATTCAATTCAATTCAATTTCAGAATTCCCTTGAGTTTCTATTACAGTGGTGCCCCACTTGACGACAACAATCCGTTCCAGGAAAATCGCTGTTAAGCGAAATCGTCGTCAAGCGGAAAAAAAACCATTGGAATGCACTGAAAACCGGTCAATGTGTTCCAATGGGGAAATATCTCATCGTCCAGCGAAGACTGAACCGCCGGTCAATGTGTTCCAATGGTGTCTTCCGAAGCAGGGGTCCGAAAAGCAGCCATTTTGCGAAGAGAGGGAAGCCATTTTGCGAAGGGAGGGAAGCCATTTTGCGGAACCGGAAAAATCATTGTATAGCGAACAGACGGTTTGCGAAGCAGCCTCCTAATCAACGTAATGTGGATTTCCCCCATTGGAACCATCATTTTGCGATCGCAAAAATGTCATCGTTAATTTTGACATCATGCGGGGTAAGCGTCTAGCGGGGCACCACTGTACTATGTACCTGTTACCAAAGGGGGGGGGAGGAACTAAGACAAGAAGTTGAACACTATCTTGTACTTTTAAAGATATACAGGGCTAATCCTTGCTGATTTTAGGAACACATACCTCAATCAGCGTGGAGTCAAAATCTTCATATGTTTCTGTTGATTGAAAAGATGCCTATCAGTGATGCAGAACACACATCCATCCGCACGTCATCTTCCAAAAGTAATTTATTTACCTATTTGTATTACTTCCATAACATTTTATATGGGGGGGGGGACTCAAAGTGGCTTACATTAACCCAACAAATACTATATAAAAAATCAAAAACTATTTTTAAGAGAGGAAGTTTCTTCCATTTACAGCAGAATATTATGGTTGAAGGTGTAGCCTAGCCCACAAAGAAAAGAAACTCAAGACTCCTGAAAACATGGGGACACTGATGCATCTATCTTGTACCCTTATTTGGGCCTACTGCAGTTGCAACTTATAGTAGGTTTTCCTATAGTAGGAAAACGAACCCCCCCCCAATATCTGCAAGGGATCTGTTTCAAGCCCCCCCCGCCCCGTGGATGATGAAAGACATGGAATGCCATTATGAATGCTATACAGAGCACGATCTCTATCTCCCTCTAGTGGCCACCAGTGGCCAGTTCTGCTAACTCCATTAAAAGCTATCTTTTGGGGGATTTTTCTTTTAATATTTTCAGACTGTAGGTAAGTGAATCAGCAGATACTGATCCAGCGGATAAGGGGGTCTACTGTGCACTGAATTTAAACCACTGTCACCAGACACGTAACTAGTATCAGTGGTTGAGAGCCCCATCATCGGTTTTGGTTTTATCATTTTTCCAGCCTCACTTCTATCCTTCCTGAAATATTGATCTCCTGCAACAGTCTCCCTGGCATCTATATAGCTTAGTGTAAATGGCAAACAAATATATTTTTAAATGAAATGAAACGACACAGCAGCCATCTACATACACTCCCTTTTCTGCATTCAACCACTGCTTTCTTCCGCAGTTATCTTACCTCCATCAGGGCTTGGATCAGGGTGTCCCAGACTGATACCGTTCCAGGAGGCTCCAGTAAAGCCTCTCTCTTTCTTCACCTTCCGTCTCATTTTCTTCTCCCATTCCTCCCGCTTTATCAGCCTTTCCGACATTAGTTTCCCTTGCTCTTCTTTTTCTCGTCGTTGAATCCCCAGCGTGCTTCTCTGGTTTAAGATGGGGGCGCTGAGGCCGGGCCAAAGGATCCCAGATCTTCCTAAGGGGATCAGGACACAGGGACAACTGTCACTTGCAGATCACAGCTCTAACAGTGAAAAGGAGGAAAGCCACTGGAGAAAATCTTCTGCTGTGAACATTCATCTGCTTTCCATAAAGTAAAAAAAGAGACAACATTAAATGAGCTTGAAGCTAGCCTAGAGTGGTCGTATAGATCAGATGGGCGGGGTACAAATTAAATCAAATAAATAAATAAATAAATAGACAGACAGACAGACAGACAGACAGACAGATAAATGGCATACAAAGCTTTATTAGTATTTTGTGGGGGGGGCAACTTGGGACTGTGCAGCAGGATATATACGTATATATAAAAAACCCACACTGAACCTCGAGCTCACCAACCCTTTCCTAATGCTTCAACTCAAACATGCTACTGTTCTTACGTATGTCAGGGGTAAGCAACACACGATTCGTGGCCTACATGTAGCCTGCCTTTTGGAGACCAGAGAGTCCTTCCCCTCTTAAAACTAATTTTGCTTCAGGAGGTGGGGTTGGTTAAACAAGGCAGGCCACTCGAAGCATAAGCAAAAAGCCTCATGTACGGCTATTCTGGTGATGCAATGCATGGATCTCTAATTTCCTAGGGAGCTGCAACAAAACCACAAACTGCAAATGCACAAGAAAAGCTTACAAAAAAAAATCAAAGAGATCTCAAACTCAAAATCTTTCAATGTAAGTTGTCAGTGTCAGTTGAAAAGGCTCCTGAAAATTACGTTTCTTTTGAATCTGGAAGTGACCTCCACCTGAAGGCTTTAGGCGTCCACAGCCAACTACACTGCAACACTTTTAAATTTTAATTAAACCCCCTGCCCTCTCCATCCCCCAAGCTGTTTTAGATCTGGGAGGGAGCTTTTGCTGGGAGAACAAAAGGGCCTCCGGGCCTGAAACAGCTCAGAGCAACCTGGCAAAATCCTTTCCTAGTCATGGAGGAAGTGCAAAGGGGGAATGGGAATATTTGTAAAAATAATGAGGGTTAGAGTGAGGAACTCTGGGGAAGCCTCATTTTGCTCAACTCTGCTGTGTCAGCTTTTAAGGGTCCTTTCCTTTCCTTTCTTCAAGTTCCCCCAAGCATGCCAATCTCTCCTTGCTGGTCCTTGGTCCATGTGGACAGTCCTGTTCCCTTACCATTCAAGACTGAAGATGCAACTATACTGTAATTTATCTCACACTTTGGATCACTGCTGGCATAGTTATGTCCCATGTGTTTTCTGGAAACGTAAAGGTAATTCTGAACCAGCCATGGTCTTTCTCCATGGACCTTAGGATCTTTTGGCTCCACCCGCAGAGGCTACTGAGTTTTTCATTGTTATGCTTGTTTCCTGTGGAGCATTCCGGCTCATGTCACTTATACTGGTTTCTGGCATGTGTGATTCAACACAGCAGGGGTGGGTGTATCCTAAGGTGATGCTCACACTGACTCCTTAAGCAAGGTGTGGTTATACCCACGAACAGCAGAAACACGATCCCCTCTTCTGTTGTTTCTGCTCCCAACAGTTTTTTATTTCATAAAATTATTTTGTTGAACTCTGCTCTAAGTCAGATAGGTGCTGAACTGCCTATGTTATACGACATACATTGGCCATACATGCCATTCTGTCTGGAACAGTATCATTTCCTCCTGAAGAGGCTTCAGCTTCCTTTAATGATTTAATTCAAAACAAAACAAAACACCAACCTCCACTTGATGAATGAGGAATACAACTGAAGGGACCAGGAAACGACCTGAGATGGCTGCACAGTATCATGCCCTTGTTGCCAGCAGGAAAAAGGACCCCAAGCTTTATATAACAAAGGGCAGCCTAACTGTTGACAAAACCAACAGCAGCAGTCAAGATGGTTTACAGGATACCCTCTTGAGCTCATGACCATTCAGAGTGACACCAAGCAAGGGAAAAATTCAGACGCTGAATCCATCTTTCATCAAGTTAACTACTTCTCATCCAAACACAAACAATTGTCAGGGACGTTTTTCAACAAGTGGAATGATATGGAGCACAGGAGGGAATATTTGGTGCTGATCCAAAGTCCAGTTTCAAAGTTATAATTTTTTTGTTCGGACTGCCCCCATTTTTAGAACTGCCTTACAGAATGTCGATTTGCTCTGTGAGCACAAAAACATCACTGCGCTTTTGTATAGTGATAATGCAACCACATTCTGCAGGAAATTGCACCCTGGCCCTACCAGCTTGAATGGGTTCAGCACCAAAATGCACACTTCTTCTGTGCCTCTGCCAGCTGATGCCATGGGCAAGTGGAGCAGTACGGCAGAGCCATCTGTGGAAACCATATGCCCTTCAGCCAGGGTTCTGCTGGAGTTGGGTAGAGAGGGAGAGAGACATAATTTCTCTCCTTCCTCCATATCACAGCTGAAGGGGTGCAATGGGGCGGCAGGCAGGCAGGCAAGCAGCAGCGGTTTCCTCCAGCTGCTGCACCTTCTCGGATTGTGCAGCCCAGACCTCTTCTTAGCTGTCCACCCCCACCCCAAACAGGTAAAAGGCTGTGCTGGAAAAAACAGCCAAGAAAATTGGTGGCATCATTCAGTGAAAAAGAGGATGGTGGAGAAATGGCAGAAAATATGTTTCTTGTTCAATCCACTTTATCTCCACTTTCCTTTACAAAGTGTTGCATCATTTCAGTGCTACATCACTTTGAAGGAGACATCAAGAGGATGAAAGGAAGATTAGGGAAGCAGAAAGGAAAAGGGTGGTACAAATGATGGAGGAGGGTGAGAATTGTACTGACTCAAGGTGTTTAAAGTCTCTTTCCCCCAAAACTACCTGGAATAAAGTGAACATTTTTATATTAACGGAAACATCGATATACTGTATTTTTCCATGTATAAGACCCCCTTTTCTAACCGCAAATTAAGAAATCTTAACTTACTTTTGATTATTCAGCCTCTGGGCTCAGAATGCTCGGACATTACGAGTCCCTGTTGAATCTGAGCACTCCTTACAGACTCCATCTCCAAGGAGGTATGTTCCAATTGCTTTGATCCCTGCTTTTCCCCTTCTTGCTAAGACCTGCAGTGCTTAGCAAGAGGAGGGGGAAAGGGATCAAAGTGCTGCAGGATCCTGACTGTAGGAAACTAAGCCTCATGAGTGAAGGAAGCCTGTTTCCAGAGGCAAGGTATGGGCTGTTTTGTTCTCGCCTCAGCTTACTTCCGTGTATAAGACAACCCTCAATTTTTAGTCCAAAGATTTTAGACAAAAGTATCATCTTATACATGGAAAAATTACGGTAAATCCAATTTGAATGGGCCCATCAAGACAACTAAGCCTGATCCAAGGCAGGACAGCATCCCTGCCTGGTCACTCCTTCTGTTCACCATTAGATTAACTGATATGAATAAAGCAATTTCTGGGTCTTTGCATAATGCATAAATTTACCTTCACCGATCATCTGGCCTCTATTGAGATTCAGTTTTATCTTCTTCTTGGTCCTTTTGCCTCTTGCTCTGTTTTTACTTGAACTAGACTGTGCCACAACTGCTTTCCAGATTTCATCAGCTGTCACTGTGATAAAGAAGAAACCATATTAACAGCTATTCAAAGTGGGGCAGGGAGCAAGAGGCAACATGTTCAGGTGTCATTTAATTGGAAGCTTGTAAACCTAGCCAGGTCTCAAGAAATTGTCCGTGCACAGGTTTGCATTTCATTTGGTTTGCAGGGCATTTCCTGAGATTAAAACCAAGTTCACAGCTAATGAGTATGTGGGGTCTGGATAGCTAAGAATTTTATACACACAAAAATACATGCACATAGACATACAGTAATGGGCACAGCTCTTGTACTAAACAACTACCAAATAGCAAAAATATATATGGAAATGTATCTGTAAAAATGGGTTTTGGTGGGTTGGCCCAGGATATTTTGCTACCTGAGGCAAAGAACAAGATGGCACTCCTGATTATCTCCCATAAAAAACTGCTAGACTGGCTGTTGAACATGTCTCTGCTTTGCATACAGTGCTCTTCCTTGTTGTTGCCATTTAGCATCTGCTAGAGACAACCATCTGATTTTGCCTACCAAAAGGGCCAGTACTGATTGATGTTGAGAAAATGGATGGGTCACAAAGTCCCTTCCCAACTGGTTTGTTCTGTGTTGCTTCCTCTCAACTTCTCCTTCCTATCTTCAAGCATGTGTTAGGATTCTTGGTTCTGCCTTCACCTCACAAAGTTCTGCCCTGTCACTGTGGGACATTCACAAAGTAGCTGTGAAGGTTACTGCACATCTCTTTATGTTCAATATAAAATAATTGTGCGCCGTCAAGACAGTTTTGACTTATGGCCACCCTTTCCAGGTTTTCTACGTTTGGAATACAACTAGTACAGTGGTGCCCCGCATAGTGACGATAATCCGTTCTGAAAAAATCGTCGCTATGTGGATTCGTCGCTATGCGGGGCAAAAAAGCCCATAGGAAAGCATTAAAACACGTTTAATGCGTTCCTATGGGCAAAAAACTCACCGTTCTGCGGAAATCCTCCGTGTGGCTGCCATTTTCATGCCCGGTAAGCGAAGAAAGGACTCCATGCGGCTGCCATTTTCACTGCCCAGCAAGCGAGGAAAGGACACGAAAACACAGTGGCCGGCCATTTTCTTTACCCGGCGGCCATTTTGGAACCGCCAATCAGCTGTTAAAAAACATCGCTATGCGAAAATCAGTAAGCGAAACACTTACCGATCATTGCAAAGCGATGTTTCACCATTAGAAACATCGCAATGCGATCGCTTTTGTGATTGCAAAAAACACATCGCTATGCTGATTCGTCGTTAAACAAATCGCTCGTTATGCGGGGCACCGCTGTAGTTCTAAATCCTTTTCTCCCCAGTCTGCAGAACACGTTCGTCTGCTCCTCTTTCTTTGACCCACTAAATGTTATCACAATTGTTGTTTTTTTGGACATAAACCATCCCTGTGCAGCCACAATCCAGCAGCACAAAGAAAGACTATCCATTGTGATGAAACTTGATCTGAAAGTTCCCTCATATTTATTAATTAATTTATATCCACTTTTCTGTTCGATCCGTCTCATGTCAAGGTGCCTCACAATAAGAAACAGAAAAATGCACAATATTATAATAAGCAAATCCCTGTTGCCAATTTATAGGAACAGAAATAAAACTGTGTAATGGAACTCCTTTCTGTCTAAATCCGAGGAAACTGCTTCACTTCTAGATCAGTGTCTGGTGTCAGTAATAGACTGGATGAGGGCAAATAAACAGAAACCTGAGACAAGACAGGGGTGTTCCTGATCAGTCAAAGGGCAGATCAAGGAACAGGAATATTCAGCCTGTGTTGGATGGGGTTACACTTCCTCTGAAAACACAGCTGCGCAGCTTGGGGGTATTCCTGGATTCATCTCTGAGCCTGGATGCCCAGGTTTCAGCAGTGGCGAGGAGTGCCTTTGCACAGTTAAAACCAGCTGCACTCATTCCTTGAGAGCTCTGATCTGGCCTTGGTGACACACGCTTTAGTTACATTCTGGCTGGGTTACTGCAACATGCTCTACGGAAGGCTGCCGATGAAAAATGTCAGGAAACTTAAGCAAATCCAAAAGCAGTCAGATTGCTAGCTGGGGCTGGTCACAGGGATCACATAACCTTCTGTTACAGCAGCTCCCTTGGCTGATGATCCACTTCCGAGAGTTACAGCAGCTCCCCTGGCTGCTGATCCACTTCCGAGTTGAATTCAAAGTGTTGATTCTAGCCTAAACATCCCTAAACAACTTGGGCTCAAGCGATCTCTAGGGCAGTGGCTCCCTTTATGAGCCTACTAGACTGTTAAGATCCTCAGAAGAGGCGTTCAATGTACTGTTTGCGGTGACCGTACCACTAAGTGTTTCTTCAAATCTCTTGCCAGAAACTCATGCCATAACACAGCACAACCGCGTCAAAGGGAATTGATCCTTTGTGCAATTTCCCCAACTTCTGGAGTTCTTATCAAACCACAAGCATAGCAGTCTACTAAGGAAACCACAACATGCATGAGGCATTTGACTCTTTACATTGAAGACCAAAAAAGTGAAAGTACGCAGACCGTAACTGAGACCGTCTGTTTGATACAAAGCACGTCAGCCGGCCACAGGACTGTGGCCGAAGCAAAAGAGGGGAAAACTTACTTTGAGGCTATAACTTATTTGAATTCTGGGAGCTGTAGTCCAGAAAAGTAACCTTTCCCATCTTTGGCCCTGAGAGGGAGCAATACTATACAATCTTTGCTCCATGCTGCAAGGTCTGTGAATTGTTTCCAAAGACTTACATTTGCCGAAAAAGCTGCTTTGTCTGTACTGTTGCACTGTGACGCTGGGAGGTGCAGAAACATAGCAATGTTTCTGTAAAGCATTTGCCAATGTCGTGTACTGGCAATGGGCTCCATGAGATGGAATGAAGGCACAGCCTGCAAAGAAAGAAAGAAAGCACACAAAAACAAATATTAAATGATTGATTCATCCACAAACTTATGTAAACACACTTATTCCTGGGAGGAAAAAGGAACTTTTCTTTGTCTGCAAAATTGACGTATGAATATATGTTCTTAGAAAAGACACTGCTGTTGCTGTTGTCGTTAAGTCGTGTCCGACTCTTTGTGACCCCCGTGGACCAGCGCACACCAGGCCCTCCTCTTCACGGATAAGAAGAAAAAGGAGAAATGCCTCTCCTAATCCCATGGACCAGCACACGCCAGGCCCTCCTCCTCACGGATAAGAAGAAAAAGAAGAAATGCCTCTCCTAACATAATTCTGCTCTCAACAGTTTCTGTACTTTCTTATATTAAAAATAATTAACAAATTTTAAATTTCTGTTGGCTTATTAATCGGAACCACGTTTAAAACCTATTAAACATTTTTGGGGTCATTTAATGATTCATTCATTCATTCACAATTATCTTTAAGCCCTCTTGCTGGATAGCTCAGTGGTTTACGTCTCTGGCTGTGGAGCCAAAGGTTGGGAGTTCAATTCCCCGTTGTGCCTTCCCTTGACAGGGGTTGGACTCGATCATCCATTGGGTCCCTTCCAGCTCTGCAGTTCTAAGATTTAAGAATAAAACCCTTTCAATGCAGCACACAATATTTAAAACCATGAAAATTCAATACAAACAAGGAATTAATAAGACCAGAAGCCTCAGAACTATGGAAAAGCTAGTGAACAGAGTTCTTTTTTGAACTATACAGATTTCCTGAAGACCTCCAGAGAAGGAGCCTGATCTTATGGTTGCAGAGCCACGCCTGAAAAAGCCCTTGCCCTTCTTCCAGGAAGGGCAGCCACAAAGGGAGTGGTGACCATTTCTCCAGTTTGCCAACTGCTCAAGGACCACACACTCAAAGAGGTGCATGGACAAAGGGGAAGGAAAAAGGCTCAGTGATTTTTTTTAAGAAAAACAAAGAAATACACACAGATATATCTAATCTAAAGATTAATCAAAATGAAGCACTACATTTTACTAATTGGCTGACACCCTATTGCTTGGTATAGGTAAAGGTTGCCATTGACAATTTGTCCAGTCGCGTCCGACTGTAGGCGACAGTGCTCATCTCAGTTTCCAAGCCATAGAGCTAGCATTTTGTCTGCAGACAATCCTCCATGGTCACGTGGCCAGCGTGACTAGACACAGAACGCCGTTTACCTTCCCACCGAGGTGGTCCCTATTTATCTACTCGCATTTTTGCATTTTGCATGCTTTCGAACCGCTAGGTTGGCAGGAGCTGGACAAGCGATGGGCTCTCACTCCGTCGCGTGGATTCGATCTTACGACTACAGGTCTTCTGACCTTGCAGCACAGAGGCTTCAGCAGTTTAACTCGCAGTGCCACCACATCCCTAGGCTAGGCCCATGGAATCAGTGGGGATCTGACAGTCAAGTCTTCCATCATTTCCACTGATTCAGTGGGGCATATTCTAATTGCAATTTACTATACTAAACGACAGGATTCCAGTCATTATAACATAAAAATATTAATTACAAAATACTTTAAAATCATCTTTGAGGAGCATATTTCAAATTTCCTTAATAGCAATTTGCTTAGCAGCAATAATTTAAATGGCAAAAAGGCTCGCAAAGACTGTTTAAATAGATGAGGCTATTTAAATAACCAAAGAAGGCAAATGCTGGGGAATAGGCTTGCAATTAAAGGCTTCCTCCTTCAATCCACAGTAAAATTCCTCTTTAGTCGGCTTGTAACACTCAAGACACAGACAATGGCCTTACTAAAACAAACAGCGTATTTAGTGGCTAAAGCAAGACTTTAAAAAAATTGGCTTCAGGACTGCTCATCTGGTAAATGAACTCTGAACTAATTTACAAGGACTTTGACTGTGATTTTGCGTATTGAATCCTGTTGAACTGCTGTGCATGACCTCGGACTGGAAAACTAAGACAAAGGCTGTATATATGTGTATAACTCCTGTAAATAATACAAGTAATTCTTCTATCAACACTACAAGTTGTTTGGTGTCTTCATCTCAGGGAAGTTTTTCTACTGCTAGCGCTACCTGGTGTATCTTGGTAATACCACACCTCTGTCAAAGACTAAAAAAAATTGAAAATTGAGAGAATGAAGGGGTGGCGGCACATATGGCGCATGAGCCACACTATGCTTTACATTTGCAACCAGTTAGACCCACCAATTAACTGAAGACCACTATAACACAAAAGAATAAATTATCCCACAATACATAAACACTATGTAGGCTGCAATGAAAGGCTGCTCAGTCTGTCAGTATTTGACATCTTGAAAAGGACCGGACAGCCAGAAAGACAAAAAAAAAAGTAGGTTCTAGGTCAGATCGAGCTTGAGTCTTCTCTACAAGCAAACACAACAAAGCTGAGGTTGTCATATTTTGGGCCCATCCGAAGAAACAAGATTCACTGGACAAGACAATAATGCTGTTAAAAAGTGGAAGGCATCAGGGAAAGAAGGCAGCCAAACATGAGATGGATTGACGCAGTAAAAGAAGCCACGAGTTTGTAGGACCTAAGTAGGGCTGTTAATGACAGAGCTTTTCCGACATTCATAAGGTCACCATTAAATAAGTTGGAAGCAATGGCATACGTAGGTTCTAGGTCAGATCGAGCTTGAGTCTTCTCTACAAGCAAACACAACAAAGCTGAGGTTGTCATATTTTGGGCCCATCCGAAGAAACAAGATTCACTGGACAAGACAATAATGCTGTTAAAAAGTGGAAGGCATCAGGGAAAGAAGGCAGCCAAACATGAGATGGATTGACGCAGTAAAAGAAGCCACGAGTTTGTAGGACCTAAGTAGGGCTGTTAATGACAGAGCTTTTCCGAGATTCATAAGGTCACCATTAAATAAGTTGAAAGCAATGGCATACAACAAGAATAAGACACTCGTGCTTCCATTTAATGTTGTTCCCATGGCCTCCGTTTTCTAGGAATAGAGACTTCCATCAAGAAGGTGAGAACACTGCTTCAGGAAGAGCAAATTCTTTCTTTCCATTTGTCAGCAGGTACACATATCCTTCCCCTTGCAAGAAAGAAACAACTATGATGATTCTAAGACAATTAAGGATCTCTATGTTCAGGGAGAATATTTACCTGCTCCCAAGGCATACGGCAACTCTGAATCTGAAGACTTTGTTTTATCTCCATGTACTTATGTAAAGAAATGTAGCTTATCCTGTTTAAGAGTATCAGCATCCGGAGGACGTAAAAAGAAAATAATAAGGCACAACTGGACTCACTAAGCCATTGGCGTCTTATGCCTTCTATGCTACCAAGCACTGTAGTTCTATAGTTAGCTGTCAGAATGGGCTGCATAGATGAAAAAACATCATATAGGTTGCAGCACCAACCTGTCTAGGCATTGTCCGTTGATCTGAAGGGCCAATCCCTGCCCAGCAGGACCTATTAAAGCACTCCTTCAGCAAGGGGTAATTCTTTCCTAGGATTCAGAATGCATCTTCCTCTGATCCTTGTTTGGATCATGCTTCTGTCCCACTTGAATCCAAAGATGTGACTGCCAGGCACTAGAAACCTGATACAGGCAAACTATTTGCTCAAACAAGCCAAGAGAATTATAATGAGGGAGGAGGAGGAGTTGTGTCCAAGGAGGAGCTCAATAGCTAAATACTAAACAGGATTCTAAAAAACAACAACAATAATGGATAAAAACCTGTTCAATATAGAAATTAATTTCAACAGAACCAGTACAGCTAACTGCATAGAAAGGCAATTAGAAGGAAACGTGGCTCCTTGATGAGTTACAACACTGGTATGTAAGCTCAACATCTAAAAAACTAAGATCATGGCCACTGGTCCCATCACCTCCTGGTAAACAGAAGGGGAAGATCTGGAGGCAGTGACAGATTTTACTTTCTTGGGCTCCATGATCACTGCAGCTGGTGACAGCAGCCACGAAACTAAAAGACGCTGCTTCTTGGGAGAAAAGCAATGACAAAACTCGACAGCATCTTAAAAAACAGAGACATCACCTTGCCGACAAAGGTCTGCATAGTCAAAGCTCTGGTTGTTCCAGTAGTGATGTATGGAAGTGAAAGCTGGACCATAAAGAAAGCTGACTGCCAAAGAACTGATGCTTTTGAACTGTGGTGCTGGAGGAGACTCTTGAGAGTTCCCTGGACTGCAAGAAGAACAAACCTGTCCATTCTGAAGGAAATCAACCCCGAGTGCTCATTGGAAGGACAGATCCTGAAGCTGAGGCTCCAGTACTTTGGCCATCTCATGAGAAGAGAAGACTCCTTGGAAAAGACTTTGATGTTGAGAAAGTGTGAAGGGAAGAGGAGAAGGGGAAGACCGAGGATGAGATGGTTGGACAGTGTCATCGAAGCTACCAACGTGAATTTGACCCAACTCTGGGAGGCAGTGGAAAACAGGAGGGCCTGGCGTGCTCTGGTCCATGGGGTCACGAAGAGTCGGACACGACTTAACAACTAAGCAACAACAACAACATGTAACTAATTTCAGTGTTGCTTACAGAATGAATAACTATAATTATCAGAATCACTTCGGCCAACCAATTTGATATAAAAGCATGTTCCTATCACTATAACTTTGTCCTGGTTGTCATTCTGCATTCATTTGTTCTAACAGTTGATTCCATTAATAATAGAGTATGAAAAATTCAGTACTTTGCTCCTGGTGAGCTTAGACATATGCTGGGAGTTGTAATCCAAATAACTGTATAACAGTCTTCCCATTGGGGATAATCTGTCTAGCATTACCTATCTTCTCATTGGAGAAAATATGAACAAGTTCTCCATGGAATCTTGGGGTTCTCTGATACACAACTGAGAATCAACAGTTTGTATCATTAGTATCTGAACAAGTAGAACCCAGAGATGCCCAAGAAAACAGCTACTGCTCATGTATAGGCATAGTGGAGGGAGTAACCTCTGTTCATAGCTAAATAATACCCTT